AATCAGAAATCTGACGAGGTGATGTCTCTGAAATCACACATAGGAACACAGTTTTTCCTTTACCCTCTTTTTAGTGTGTGTGTGTGTTTACTCAACATGTGTATATTTTCTCCTTTCCCCATCTGGCATCTGCTTTGGTACCAGCCTAGCTAGCTGTTCTGTGTCAAGAGTACTTTAGCCTTTTCATTATAAATGAGAAAGAAATGAAATAATATGAAAAAGAAAATCCTTCCACCATCCCCCGCTTCGCTCACTTTTGTTGTTTCTGAGCAAGTTCCTTGCCATTTACCTTTGCATTTGCATTGCTTATTGATTGGCAATTTAAAAATTGTTTATTGTGCTCTTTTGTTTCACTGTTCAAGAGCTAAAACAAAAGCTACCAGGCCCTGCGAGGTACACATTTGCATGCGGTGAGCGTTGCCTGAGGAAAAAGTAATTGCTAATGCATATTTATGTGGCACAAATTTGCCATTTGTTTATGCATAAAATTATCAATAGTGCAGGGCGGCCCAGCCGTAGAAAATGGTGACCTTTTTAGCTTAATAAATAGAAATCAGCTGTTATTGTGAAGAGATCAGCCATTTATTCTGTGTTGAGGGACATTGCCGGGAAAATGCAGATTGGGGCTGGCAATATCATTAAATGGAAGGCCAATGACCCCTTCCGTAGAGTCTATTATACTTTATCTAATAGGGGATAAATGACTCTGGTTGGCAAATGGAATAAAGAACAACAGTATTTTTTTTTTTTGTAATTTTATAACTATATGGATGTCAAGCCAAAACTGAACAGAAAATCTCATGCCGACCTGTTGCTAGAATTCTCTCAAGAAGTCTCTGTTTTAAAGTTGCTTTTCTTTAATCATTATTCTCTATTTAGATTCGTATCTACTGTAACAAAAAATTAAGTCCGGTGGGATTTTTCAAGAAGATCTTCCTTTAGCTGTTAGTTTTCTTTCCTTTTCTACCCTTTCTACCTCTTTAGCACCCTCTTTGCCTTACTTTTATCTTGGCCTTGAAGACATCCTTGTGCTTTATAGGGTCGTTCTTCATCTGATATCTTAAAAATATTGAAGGCAGAATAAGGTATTTTCAAACTAAATTTAGTATGAGTTAGGATTGATTTTTAAAAACTAAGCATAATACTTTCTGAGTGATACAATTGGCTTTCAAGGTGAGGCTGAATTT